CTTTTCAAACTGGCTGCTCTCTATGGGAAAATGTGGCTGGTTGCAAAGGCAGTCTCTTGCCCACAAGCTTTGCCCAACCAATCCCTCCGGGAGATCATGGTTTCTTGGATTTGGCAGGCCAGTTGCATGGAACAAAGCCTGCCACCAGTCTCCTGGCATTTCCCAGCTTGAGGATGCGCAGGCACTATTTCTGAAATGAACGCTTGGTAATTCGGGGGCCCTCTCATGTCAGTAGGAAGATCGTGTGGCCCTCAGGAAGAGGAAGCCAGCCAGGGGCACAGAAATCCACGGCTTCCTCTGCATGTGTCTAAGGACACGGCAGGGCTTCCCAATCCAGAATTTTTGGAGAAGTCACCCAAGGAAGTCAACCGAAAGTCTGTCAGATTGAAAACCAACCTTTTTATTATTCAACAAAAAGACAAAACTTTAGCTCAGCATAAACCAACGTCCAATTTGATATTAGAAATTATTTTCAGTACATAAAATAGGGAAATATTAGAAGGCAAATACGGATCCTATGCACACTTCAAGAGCATCAGAACACAGACAATTCACATTAACTTTCACAGTCTCTCCTCTTCAGGCATTTGGTTTCCAGAGTCCCATAAAGGCAAGACCTGCTTTTGCTCCTGCTCCTGGGGGCTTGCCAGTGTCGCTGCCCCTTGAAGCTTGTCAGCAGATGGTTGCTCTGACCCCAAGCCAGCTGAACGGGGGGACTGCGAAGTGGGCCAGTCCCACCCCAAAGCAGTGGCCACGGCCTGGGCGAGTGACAAGTGCCTCTTTTTAAGGAAGGGGGACCTGCTCTTCTGCACACAAGGAACTGCCGGCGGGGAGGCTGCCAGGGCTGTGCCCACGACGGGTCCGTGCTCCAGGACCAGCCCTCCCAGGGTCCAGGCAGCCGTTCCGGCTGCTGTGTGCTCCGGCCACCACCCACGTCGCCCATGCCAAAGACCCTCAGAGGATGCTTCCTGAAGGATGGTCCCTATTACAGCGCATCAAGCGGTGCCCTGCGGCTGTTTGGCCTTTCCCCCCTCAGCAGATGCTCTGAGGAAAGAAAAGTGGGGGAGAAAACAATGGAGAAGCACAGCAGGGCCACGCATGGCCAGCCGTGGCGTCGGGACACCACGACCCGCCAGTTCCCGTGCGTGAGGCAGGGCAAATGCATTGTCAGGAAGCATCCTCAGAGGAAGAGCAGGCTTCCTCGCTACGCGCTAGGGAAAAGTGAAGCGGACTCTTCTTACGCAAGCCAGACAGCCTTTAATTTAACAGCAAAGTCACTAAGGGGGCAACCCTGTCATGAAGATCGCATCCCCCAAACACACGGGCCTGCGGACGCCCAGTGAAGGGCAGGAGGAGCAGCTCCAGGCAGGCCTTTTGCTCATCCAGCACCATTTGGGAAGGAGGCTGGGGTGGCGGCAGGCAGCTCCTCTCCCGGCCCACTGAAAACACCCCCTTCCCCCTCTCCAGGGGAACCTTTTGGGCCACAGAGGGAGCCAGCCAACTGCGAGGGAAGGTCAAAGTGCTCTCCCTGACCGTGGATCTCAGGATCCAGGGATCCCCCAGCTCCTTGGATCGCTCCCCAACACCCCTGGACCAACAATGTAACACAGGCCAATAATTCATTGCCTTTTGAAAGGTTTTTCTGAAGTAATTTAGCACAAATGAAAAATAAAACACTGCAAAGAGCTCTTAATTCTCCCGCACATGTTAAAGAAAAGCTTAAGGCACGTCGAAGTGGTCGTCCTTCACCCAAAGTGCCTGGAATCGGCTTGGTTAACTCGCGCTTTCCCTGCACAGCCTCACATCCGAATCCACACAACCCACGGTGTGAGCACAAGCGCAAAGCGTGAGCAGGCAGGGCTCGTGCGCGTGCGTCAGAAGTGGCAGTGGGAGCAGCCCAGCGATGCGGGGGAGCCTTCAGGCGGGAGGAGGTGGCGGCGGCGGCGGCTTGGCTGGTCCTGACTTCTTCCAGCTGCGCTTCAGGGGAAGGATCCCTTTTCCTCCGCGTGTTGCTCCGGCGGTGACCAAGGCGAGCGGACCCACTCACGATGGGCAGGGCCTCTGCGGTGCACACACGGGCTTCTTGCGGACGCCGAATGCTGCACGTGGCCAATCCAAGGCATGTTTGCGGAGGGAGGGAAAACGCCTGAGCACTTTTCCTGAAATTCCTCCACAAGTGGCGGGAGGGAGGGCGGGCGGGAGAGAGGCAGCGATGCACTCCAGTCCGCCACTCACACGTCTTCTGCACCCCGTCCAGTGGGCGCTTCAGCCAGTTCTGGCCGTCTGACAAGCCGCATGAGCAACCGAGATCCCGCTCGCCCCTTTGTGTGTGTGTACACAGACAGAACCGGAGGACTGTGCTGTGAAGAGGTGCCAGTGACCCTCAGCAAAACTATTTTTCCGCCCTGCTTCAGCACCTCCCTCCCTAAAGGTGCAGCCAAGCAAGGGAAGGGGGAAGTGTGCCCTGGAGAGCAGCACCTGCTTGAGGTCAAGGACTGCACATGCAACCAAATAGGTCAAGCAGAAGGAAGTATGGTTTTCCAAAGCTTCCTTGTGCTTATCTCTAAAACACAATCAAGTTCTTCAGCCAGGGCAATGGCATTTAGATAACCCCTTTGTTTCCACTGGAGGATTACTCCCCCCCCCCCACACACACACACACTGCATTTCCAGCTCAGCTTCAGCTGACTCATCTCAAGAGTTTTCTCAGGAAAATGTAGTTCTGTTCACTACTTCTAAGCCACCTTCCAGGAGACCTCTCAAGGCAGGAGACCTCCTGGTCCAGCATCCTGTTTGCAGCAGCCAGTTGTTTCTGGGATGCTCAGGCACAACAACAGAGAGGTCACCCAGTTCTGACCCACAGTTGTCCACCAGCAACTGGAGCTCCAAGATACACAGCCTCTGTGCATGGATGTTCTACTTCCTTATCAAAGTTCATGGCCCCCGAGAGGCCTGCTCTCCTGTTTCCCCAGGAACCCCCCTGAAAAACCATCCCAGGCAGTAGCCGTGAGGGACCCCTTCTTTTGCTGCAAATGTTTCGCAGGGCAGCTCTGCATTGGATGAGGCAGTCCTTTTCGCCCACCCTGGATGTACCCTCAGCTGCAGACAGGAGTTCTCAAATGATAGGAAGGAAAACATTCACCTCTATCCACTGTCTCCAAGCTAGCCATAGTTTTGCAAAACTGTATGTCTGTTCGATCCCCTCTCATCATTTCCCAAACTGCACACAATAAAATACTGCAGGGTGCTCTCATGAGAAAAAGGTTCTCGCTCTACGATTCCCTGGCATGCTCTTTGCTGCGTTCTTGCAGGATCTTGATGGGACTCGGTGTGACTCAGCCCTGCCTCCTGGCACCTGGAGTGCTTGCGAGGAGCCCCAGTAACGGGGGCGTCAGAGATATTTGGGCCGAGTCACCCGAACTCGGCCTCAGCTGACCAGCAACACACACGTCTTGCGCTGAGGCCTTCGCTTTGCACCAGAGCGAGGCCACAGAGCAGGAAGAGGGGCTGCGTCAGGCGACAGTCCCCGCTTCTGTTACCCAGGGGGCCAATGGCAGAGAACAGGGCTTGCTCCAGGGTGGGCAGGCGGGCACAGCACGCCTGTGGTCTCAGAAGGGACGGCCCTCGACTTGGTACAGACGCGCACGGCCTCTTTCCCTTTTCTGCACGTTTTGCATTCGGTCAGGTCGGATTCGCTTTTAGCTCAGCCGTGACGCTCGTCGGCAAGCCATCGAGAGACCTCCGGGTGCGGAAGAACCACCCAGGGGCCTGCCCTGTCAGCAGCTGTCGGAACGGCCCCGCGCAGCCCGTCAGCACCCTCCTCTCGCCCGGCTGCCGGGGGCCACGTGAGGCCGTGCCAGCACGTCCACTGTGAAGCTGCTCCCTTCTGCAGGATGGGGAACCTGCCTGGGCGACCTGGGCTAGAATTCGGGGCAGGGCCAAGCGCAAGAACAAGCCCCCCGTTCATCCTGCTACAGACCTTTTGTGATGACCGTCGGCAGGCTGCGTTTCTTTCAGTGTTTTACGTTCCTTGAAACACGGCAGTCATAATGAAGGGGACTGGACGCTCAGAGGAGGACTGGCAAACGGGGGCAGTACTGAAAAAACCTGAGGCGAGAGGCATTTGAAAAGAAACAGGCTGCACGTGCCCAAATTCCCCGGCTTGGAAGGAAAGCCGCATCCCTCCCTCGGCATTTCCCTCTGGGCCATCAGCAGAAAGCACTGAGGGAAGCAGATCGGTGTCGGGGCTGAGCGAGTGGTGCCGCACCTGCCGCTCGGAGGCCAGTGGGAATAGCTGCTCGGGCGCCTCCCCTCCTTAGGAGCGGCTCCTCCACCCAAGGGGCTCTCTCGCAGGGAAGCCACCGCCTCTGCAGTGCTTCCGAGGGAGGGCAGAGAGGGCAGCTACAGAGGGAGGGGAGCTGCTGCCTGGCATGCTGACACAGGAGCAGCACAAGCGGGAGAGACAACTGCTCCTTGCTCTCTCTAGAGCACAGAGCATCGCAAAAGGGAGATCTGGCTTTCCTGCCCCTGTGATCTTAGCCCTCAGGTGACCCTGGCAAGGACTGGTGTGGACTGCAGTTGCCCGACGTAGCCAAAAGGAAAGGAAGTGCTACGATGTTCCTGCAAACAGACTTGATTCATCTAAAGTGCACCCTACTCTTCCAGCACATGCAGCAGTTGGAGTCTGTGACACAGCTTTGGTTCCAGTGCTCCCACTCGCTCTGTTCGGCTAGCCAAAGCTGCCCTTCCGGCACATCCCCGTTCACCTTTCCACATGCCCCTTCTTCAGTCTGCAACAGTGCCTCAACCGAATCTGCTTTGGGGTCATCAAGCCATCTGTTCCTCTGTGCAGCCTCCCTGTCCGACCTTTGCAGAACCATGCAAAAACCTCATGCTTTCCAGCCCATGGCCAAGCTCAGGGGAAGAAAGCAACCAGGTCACTAGGCCATGAAGGGAGGCCGAAAATTACCCCAGGCCCACATAACAAAGCCGACCACTGATTCTGAGACTGGCCTGCAGGTTTATTTGCTACCCTTGCAAAAAGAGGTCCTCTCTCCCCTTCCACCCAGATTTTACATCAATGCACCCAGCGCTTGCTAAGGGACAGCAGAACCCTTGGCCAGAGAGGTCCAACTCATTGTTTCTCTACAAGCAAGAGAGGTCCCTACATTGGAACAACCGTGCTGGCTCAGCCCCTATCATCCTTCGCAGGGGAGTGCGGAGAGGAAATAAGGAAGATTTTGGCAGGGAGCAGCAGAACACAAGGTAGAAAAAAGGAAGCCCCTCAACCAGTAAGGGAAAGTTACAGGCCTTAAGCGTATGGTTTCAAAAGACGGTGCCGGAATGGGTTAGAGTCATCATCTTGAGCCTCCTGAATGCTTTGCTTGACAGTTAGTAAACAGAGTATTAAACGTATGCCCAGGTTGTCTGAAAGAGGAGGAGGAGGAGAGCAGAAGAGGTGCAGGCAGTAGACCTTCAGCCGGTCTTGTGGCTACCATCGCCAGTCCGAATTCTCCGGGCCAAAACTACCTCCTTGGACACTTTCTTGCAGTCACTGGCCAAGCCAAGGTAACACATAAGATTGATGAAGCCTGTCGTGAAATTCCACCGCAGGCCAAACTCACTGGCTGAGTAATCGAAGGGGAAGGTATGGTGGAAGTTGTGGAAGCCTTCGCCTGTGGACCAAGAAGCGGGAAGGTGAAATGAAGCTGTGCCTATCGTAGGAATTCAGAAGCAGACTAAGGAAAGCAGCCAACATGCCCACTCTGGCATCGGCCGCACCCCGCCAACCTACTCCTTCCGTGCGTGTGTCCTCCGCTGGCATCAGCTGCTCTGACTCGCCTTACTGTTTGCAAGCTTCGGATAAGAGAGAGCGCGACTAGGCGAGCGCCGCTCGAGCTGCACGCCATTCTGGAAGCACGCGTGCGCTTGCCGGCCCTGCTTCCCCCGCCTGAAGCCAGCAGGGGTGGCAGTGGGCACGTGGGAAGCAGGGCCGCGCTGGTCCCCCACCCCCGTGCCCCATACGTACCCAGGGCTCCGAAGACCACAAAGGGGTTTTCCCGGGGGTTGATCGTCTTATCGTAGGGCCTGTAGCCGTACATGTGAGCCGCGCTGTTCACCAGCCAGGTGGCGTTGAGGATCAGCGTGTAGCGGAGGATGGCGGCCAGTAAGAAGCTGTTGAAGTAGGACTCTCCCCAGAAATACCATGGCACCAGCGGAGGGACCAGGAAACACATGATCACCACGGAGGCCTTGTAATGCCTGCAAGGAAAGACGGACACGCCACAGCTTACATGGCGAGGTGGGCACATCCAAAGTTTACATGTTCACAGTCTGAATTCTGAGTTCCTGAGCACCGTTTTTGTATGTTTTCACTCTAAAGCAAGTACTTGTGAATGCTCAGATGTAGCCGGTTCCGGGCCTGCCTGATGTACCGGAGCAACAATATGAATATTCAGAAGCTGAACCTGTAAGTCTTGAATCATGTCGTTAGAAGGGGCCTTGAATTATGCTCACATGGCAGATTTTGGACGTGTGGACTTCTCCCAAAATCAAGGGGAAAGCAACATTGAGGGATTGTGGCAGCTGGCAGCAGGAAGAGGAGCTGCGAATAACACTATGCATGGATGGGCATGTAAAAGAGCACTGGCAGAGGACCAAAGGACCATGCCAGGATATGTGACCCCCGAGGGGCCCAAGTGGCGAATGAGGTTGGGAGAGGACAAGATGGCAGCAGCTCCGTTACGGCCTGCTGGTGTTGTGGAGGGCCACAGGTTCTGTAAGGTTTTCTGCTGATTCATCACCCGTTCCTGCACTGATAATTTCCTTCAAGATACTCATCCTTTTAACATACTGGTCAAGCTGGAGGAAGTGGGAGAAATTATGCCACGAATTAGCTGGCTGCAGCTCTGGTGCAATGCTACAGCCAACATGGCTTGGAACGGGCATGCCTTCAGTCACAGCTTTACCAGCACTCCTGGCAGACTGAGAGAACTGGGCATGTTCAGCCTGGAGTAGAGAAGACTGAGGGGGGACATGAGATCCCTCTAGAAGGACCTCAAAGGCTGCCACAAAGAGGAAGGTCAAGGTCTCTTCTTGCTGATGCCAGAGTGCAGGACACGGAATAATCAGCTCAAGTTGCGACAACCCAGATTCAGGCTGGACATCAGGAGAGAAGCTTCCTCACTGGCTGAGCAATGTGTCAGTGGGGCCAGCTGCCTGGAGAGGTGGGGGGCTCTCCCATACTGGAGGCATTCAAGGCAAAACTGGACTCAAGCCCTCTGAGTGGGAGGGTGTGACTTCGTGTCCTGTAACAGCAGGGGGTTGAACCCGATGGCCTTCTGGCCCCTTCCAATTCTGCTGTTCTATGATTTTATGATTCTCTTTCCCCTGCCTATTGATCAGCTGGGCTCATTTCCTGGTTCAGCGGATCACTGCGTTCTGCAAGTGATGGGGCGATGGTTGGTGGTCCAACGGCTGGCCTCCTTTAATGCAAGGAAAGCACCCCCAGATGCTGCTGCTTTTCCTCTCCCCCTTTGCTCACCTCCTCTGGAACATCACCACCTTATCTGCTTTCAGGTCGGAGAGATCCAGCAACTGCCCCTTCTCTATGACATCTGGGTGTTTGCGCACCAGCAGCCAGCCAATGTGGGAAAAGAAAAAGCCCCTGGAGGCATTGTGGGGGTCGGCGTCTGTCTCTGAGAACTTGTGGTGGACGCGGTGGTCTCTGGCCCACTCGTAAATATCATTCTAGAGGAAAGATAAAGCCACGAGCATGAGCGATTTTGAGAGGGGTGATGTTCGGCTACTGGACAGGGCAGAAATGAAATAAGCAACACATGAAGGCGTTGGAGAGCTTCACCCGGAAACCTTAAGACTGATGTTTTGTCCTACCCCTGAGTGGAATGGGGAAGATGCCAGTAAATGCCATGTCCATGTATTGAAACTAAGGCTGGCATGAATTGGGACAATGGCATGACCTGGACTGGTCTTTCCCAATGCTGAAACAACAAATCTCACAACTTGCTTCGCCCCCAGCCAGAGCAGCCTGCAGTCCGGGCCTTGGATACACTCCGGACGCACCAGTCCCGGTCCAACAGGCTCTCCAAGCAGGGCCAAGCTGCTGGGTGGGGAAAAACTTGCAACTTTCCCCCCATAAAATTGTACAGCACATTCAACAAGAAATTGCAATATCCTCCCACTTAATTCCATGTTGTTCTTTAAAATGAGCATGAGATGAGGTTTGGCCAAATGATTCCAGTTGGGGAGACCCTAAATGGAGCCACAGAAGGTACATGAGGCTCAAAAGCTCACTGCCTTTAAATGGGAACGAGTAAATCCTGCCGGGGTCCTTTACAATGCACAGAGAAACGCTACGGTGCGGTGCTGCACGGCCTTCCCTGGGCATGCCTGCCTCGTTCTGTGGGAACTCCAGCGTGCCCCTGCCTCGAGGCAGCCGCAGCCCCACCCCGACAGGGGGGCAGCCTCCTTCCTGTTACTCGCCATCTGCCGCATCCGAAGTCCCCTGCTTTGGGATTTTTACTGACAGGAACATTATACTTTTGATATGGAGAGAGTAACTGGAAAAGGAAAGCAGATGAGGAGGAGGAGGAGCATGCATTTATAGAAAAAAATGAAAGTGGCTTGCTTCTAGAATCCCAGTTCTGCAGAAGGTGAAAATGCCGTGTGGGATTCCATCAAAGCAATTCCCTCAGGATTTACTGGTGTTGTCCGTTAAGCGGTCCCTACCTGGAAGGCCATGGAGTTGATGATGGCCAGGAATATCCGGAGAGGCAAGGAGGCTTTGTAAGAGCGGTGGCTCCAGAGACGATGTGCACCGGCAGTGATTCCCAGGCCGCTCAAGGTGAAGCACAGAAGCACTGTGGTAAGAAAGGAGAAAGGAGAAGGACGTCAAGAGGATGCCCCCTTCATTTCAGCATCATCCAGTGCGCCGATCCCCTTCCCCATCAACACCTTCGTTAGAAAACCCCAAAGCCAACACTCGGAGCGACCAACTGGGCTTGGACTGAGAAGAGCGGAAGCACGAGCAGAAAGCAGGACTTCGTTCAGCCAAACACAACTGCAGGCGAGGCTGGAGAACGCCTTGCCAGGCCACCAGCTCCTCACTGCACCCACACGCGATGTTTGCCTGCTTGAGATGGAGGACCCAGAGACAGGCGGCCTGGAGATGCCACCTATCGCCAGATGTCCCACAAGACTATCCTCCCGGCGGGAAAACGCCCTTCTTCCGCCACGCACAAGCTGCTGCGACTGCGAGTCCCTCTGGGTAGTTCAGCAGGGACGGGCTGCGCCAGAAGACGCCTGTGGCTGCACTGCTGCTGACCTGCCCAGTTCCCACACGTACTGCGCTGTGCCATCAGGATTCGACCTCAGCCTCACAGCTAAGGCGAATCGGAGGGAGTTTACCCAAACTGCTCCTCAGCACAGGGACAGGGCAGCCTCTGACCCGGGGCCAAAGGCAGCTTGCAGCGCCCTCTCCTCTGCCCCGCAAAGCCCTCGAGCTGGGCGGCCGGCTTGCCATCGCTACACCCCCTTGTCTTTTCCAGCCCTCTGTCCGCTTGGGCTGGCTGGCTTGCAGTTGCTAGAATGAAACCGACACTGTTCGCATGTGCTCTGGCTTGCTATCGTCCTCTCTTGGCCTTCTGGCTCATGCGCCACAGTCCCGGAGCACTCCACTGTTTGGGAGGTACATGTCACGTCGCAGCTTGGGTCTTTGTCCTCCAGAAAGTAACGAGTACTAACAAAGAGCCCCCAAATTTCTGGAGTGGAAAACAATTCTCTTGAGAACGAAGACCAGAGAGCAACACAGAGACCCATTCCTAGTCTCCGTTTTTCTGCCTGTGCTCTCGCTTCATCGCGACTAAAGCAACATAAAGGTTCTTGATTTCTGGGTGGTGGATGTGTGGTCATGGAGAAGGTCTTGCTTCCCCGTCTGGTTTATTTCAGCATGTGCATTGCTAGGCTGGGTTTCCTCCAGCAGCTACTGATTCTGCCCAAAATGTTAACGCTGATGGGTGGGTGGGAATCAATGCAGATCGCACAGTGCGGTTCTTTTCTAGATCAGATTTTGGGGTGCCATCAATGCATTCCAATGCCTGGGAAACTGCTCCACTAACCGCTTTGGCTTTTACTTCCCAGACTAGAATCAGTCTGTGTGGATCCTGCTCCGAATCAGAGCTGCAGCTCGCGCTTGGCCCTGTGCAGTCATCTGCAAGGAAGCAGCTGAACCACCAGATGACGGGTGCTGGAACGGGAAGGGGGATGTCCAGGTGGCTACGGGTCCAAACACCACGTGCCCTGGCTTATCACAGGTCAGCCTACTGCTGCCACGCTGCTGCCCCCACTGGGGTTCACGGCTGAAGCTGCCCGGGCACAGGCCCCCCGAACAGGCGAGGGCCAACCCTTTGCTGGCTACCAAGGCTCTGGCAGGAGAGGGGCTGCGATCTCCATCCTTTCCAGCAGGGAGAAGTCTGTTCATTCCAGGGCTAACCTCTCTGGCCAGTTCCCAGAGTCGTCCCAGAGACCTTGACACGGTGCCCAAGGGACGCTACATTGCCAGCTCAATGGGAAAAATTATCAGGGCAGCTCTGGACTCAGGAGGAGATGCCATCACTGGGGCACTTCAGCTTCTCGGGAAAGAGCCAACACAAAGAGTCTTAGAATTAGGCTTCTTGTTCAGGACAAAGGGCCTTTGTGTGGACTCAGCTGATGCCACTCTTTTCTGTTGCCATTGTAAAAAAAAAACACACACACAGAAACAAAACCTGAGTCAGCCCTTGCATTCTTGCTGGGCCATGGAAGGGAGGGGAGGGGAGGGGAGGCTTACTTGCCCTTGTTCTGAAACCTTTACCCATTTGCCACTACAAAGTTGTCTCCACAGCTGAGCAAGTGGGGAAAAATGTGACGCAGCCCTCTTGGGAAGCCACTCTGGTGGGAAGCCGGCCGGCAGAGCCTACCCACTCCCTCCCCACCTGATTTCATGGTCCTGATCCCCCCACAGGTTGCACTGCAGCAGCCAGGGCACCCCGGTGCCTGTCCTCCGGTTTCACCGCAGCGTCCCCTCCTGGTGTCGCTGCTTCACTCCAAGTAGAAAGGGAGGGAGGGAGGGCCAGTGAGAGAATGGGGGGGGGGGCAGCTGACAGCTTGGAGTTGGGTCTGGAGCTACTGCAGTGAGAAGACCGCTACACTTGAGGCAGCGGGAGCAGTTTGCTCCTGGATGCGTCTCGCTTGGCTGCTCTTCCTGGTGCTCCACGTTTGGGACCTGCAGCTGACTTTAACAATGGGGGGATGACTTTGTTGTGTGGTTCGCCAATTGTGCCAGTTCTCACGCACCTTCGTAACAGAACCTATAGGGGGCAGGATCACTGGACTTTGAAAACAGGAGCTGCCCATTACTGTCAAGTGCTTTTTCTGATTAAAATAGGCTGTGTCACCATGGGTACAGAATTTATGTTTACTTTATCATAATCCATAGTTCCATGGTTCAACCCACTGCCTAAGCATCTAAAGCAGCTTGGCTCTTATTGCTCCTAAATTAATTAACGGGAAGTGGGCTCTAGAACTTCCCAGTCGTTCAGTGCCTTGATTCTCTCACCCACATGCTTTGAACCAGAGAGAGTGGGGAAGTGAGGGGAGAAGGCACAGAAGTCCCTCAGATCGCAGAAGTTCCCCTGAAACACCATCCCATCCAAAATATATTTCTGTATCCTTCTCAGTGGAGCCACGTGCGTGTGCTACCGGTCTTCACCTGGGCAGCTTGCTTACCTCCCAGGTGAAGGAAATATACGAGTTGTATTTTGCAATGTAACCACATCTGGAATGCCTGGCTTGAGGATGCCCCACAAGGCTCGGAGGTGGAGACGGGCAGAACCAGGCCACGCCACCCCTTTCAGCTCAGCTGGGGCTTCCCTTGAACGCTATCACCTTAGCTGAAACTTGCTGCACACTAAGGAACCTTTTAATGGCACTAATAGCGTGTTTGTTAAAGCTTAAAGGATTAGACTCTCAGGAACAGTAAGGAAGGAAGATTCTTCCCATGCATGCACTTGGTTTTAAATACAGGATCCTGTACTGTTTGCTCTCCAGCCTCCTTCTAAGAATATGCATGGTCCTTCTGTGTGCCAGTACCTGCTGGATACATGCTCCTCTGGGGGTCACCTGGCAGATGTCAGTGAATGTGGGCTGCACCCGGCCAGCCAGGTGCGAAGCCTCACATGGGACGCCGCCCAGCTAAGCCTGCCCAGCCACCCCCACCTGAGCATTGTCGACACGGCCGGCCGGCGGCCCTCCAAGTTCAAAGATGGCTGTCTTTCTCCACCCAGCCTGGAGCTGAGCCAGCACCTTTTGCAGACAACGAACTACGAGCTCTGATTCCTTGGCAAACTCCCACGATCAGCCCTAATGCCCCCGATCCCATGCCTGATGGCAGGCGGGCGAATCAGAACCCAAACTGCCACACATGAAAGCTCTTCCTCTCAACTCAAATCCGCCCCCTCAGTTCAGGGTGGATCTTAAGGAAGGCACTGGGTCTGGAAGGAGAAGCAGCTGGAAGCGGTCCAGAAGGGCCTGCCAGTTGCCTTGACAAGCGACTTATTGCTTAGCACAATATGCTCCTGAGCCATTAACGAGCTGGGACACTTCCCAGGGGAGGCTCGCAGGTGACAAATAGTCCTCCCCAAGGCCTCCAGGGAGCTCACAGAAAGAGCAGTGGCCAAGAGCAGAGCAAAACAGGCAGACAACTGCTCCCAAGTGCACGAGCTTGGGGCCCTTTGCTTACCCCACAGCAAGGTGAGGACCTTGGCGGAAGGTATGGTGAAGACGGCATACACTGCGGACAGGTGGAGCAGGGACATGAGGATGATGTTCCTCCAGACATAGATTTTGGCAGGCTTGGGACCCTCCTTCTCGCGGTAGCTCTCGTCGAAGAGGTCGTCCGTCATCTCTCGCTCAGGCCCCTCAGCTTCCTGCATGGGGGCGGCCTTCGCCGTGCCGGCTTCCCCATTCTGGGTCGTGCGAGCGAAGGCAGTGGTAGTGGAGAAACCGGAGGGGAGCTGGCAAGAGAAGCAAATAAATAAGCAATGCAAATTCACACACGGGAATGGGAACAACTCTTGGTGAGTTTCCCAATTTAAGCTTCTGCAGGTTGTGCAGCAATACAAGGCAGCTGCCTGGTTCTTGTGCACTTTTAGGCAGAAATGAGCAACCCGTGGGCCATTAAAAGCTTATCTCAGCGTCACCATTAATCGCAGGTGCCCGTAGCTGCCAAGGAGAGACATTTGCTATTTCGTAAGCTGCAACCACGCATGGGTGTGCCCCAGCGATGGGAGCCCAAATCAAGCTGGGTTTCCAGTCACCTGGACCATCTATGCACGTTGAACTGTAAGAGCAGAGGCGTCCTTTGTCCAATTTTCACGTCTGTGTACAAAAGATCACGCCAAGAGGCAGCTCCTAATCTTTGCACAACTGTTCCCAGAAGCTACAGCTAGTATGGCCAAGCCAGAGAAGGCAGGGCCCGCCGTGCAAGCCAGAGGCAGAAAGAGTTGGATATCCAGCATCCTCCAAGCAGGCCGCTGATGCTGCCTGCTTCCAGACCCTGCAACTGTCCTGGAAAAAGGGAGCAGGAAAAGCACTGATCCCTGGATTAGTCCTGAGATCGATTACTTCAGCATCCCTTCCCAAAGCAGTGGGATTGCAGAGCCCTGGTGGAAGCATACACTGTACTTGGAAGCTGGAGGTGCCTCTCAGCTGCCCTGATGCTTTTCTTGTTTGGAGGGCTTGGAGAGAAAGGCATCCAGGCCTGGGGATACCCAAATCTCTGCCTTCCCGAGATCCAGACAGCTAGCCAATCTTCGAGTGTGTGTGGATGCGGATCTGGGTTTGGTCCACTCTGGAGGATCCCTGCCATGCCTGAGGCATATCCCAAACCTGCTGGAGTCAGCCTAGTTCAGTTCTGGTTTGGCCAGCTCTGAAGCACACCCACAACGAAGAGCTCCCATGTGGGAGCAGCAAAGCCAGCAGCCCTCCCGCCACCCCAGGGGAGCAAGATGTCTATTTAATTTCCAGGGCAACGCTAAGCATTCCTGAATATCATGCCAGCACTTCTTCGTTACTGTTCTAAGTACTCCAGATATCACCCCTTTGGGCTGTTCAGAGGCATTGTTTCCATAATACATTTCATTAGATGGCAGTGGGACTGAGTGGGCCTTTCCTTCTAGTTTCCGAGAGAGGCATAAGCAGGGCTTGCGGAGAGGCGGGGCGGAGAGGCGGGGATCACTTGGCTGCTCCCAGGCAGAGCTGGGGGAAGCCCATTTGCTCGCTTCTTCACGGGGAGGGAGGGATGGGACACTCGGTACTCACAGAACTCTTAAAACCTGGCATTTCCAACTGACAGGGGCACGGGGGGGGGGGGCATGATGGGCTCACCCGGCAGTTTTCTCCTTTACATGAGTTTCAAAATTAGGCAATGACAAGTAAACAGCACAGGATTTAGAGAGAGATTACGGATGATCCGGAGGGCTCAAGATGAGGGAAATCACCACGCCACATCTTGATTGTAATCCTGTGGAGCAGACTGCTTGGCTGCTTCCGCCAGGATGCGCTGCCTGAACTGGGGCTGAGTCTCCCAGGATCCCAGTGTGTGGCTCAGCAGATCGGGTGGATTCTCTGGGGGGGCCCATCCCGCAAGGCTCTGCTCACCCTCCCTGCATCAGCGCCTCTTCAGAAACTTCCACAGAGGGAGAGCCAGGCCCCCAAACCTGCGAAGAGGAGAGGCTCTTCCCTCCCCTCCCCTGGGGCACCAGCAGCTGCAAACAGGGAGGGGCCAGGGGCCGGGGCGGGCCCTGTCAGCTGCCCCATGAGCCCAGCAGCCTCCCAGCCACTGCAGCTGGCCCGACAGAGGCGAAAGGTGCCCAGGGAGGGGAGCTCTCCAGCTGCTGCGGCAACCTGCACGTCTTTGGGAGTCAGCCTCGCTGAAATGAGCAGGATTTGCTTTTGAGCCTCGGATTTCAAGCTTAGAGGCCCCAGTCCAACATCTGGAAAGGAAGAGCAAAGGGCTTGGCAGACCCCTCCCAAACCTCCCCACTCATCACTCCAACCTTAAGCCGCCATGACTAATGCACTCCCGCCACCCTCACCCCACACCAGCCGGGCTCCTGCCCAAACTTGCCCGCATTGCTTAGGAGGATGTGCTGGTGCTCCGGCACTGAGTGCCACGGCAGCTGCAACAGGAAAGAGCCGGCTCAGTGGCAGCCTCCCTAAACTGTCAGATTCTCTTTATGCCCAGTGTGATCAGGGCATTAAGGCTGGGGAATGCGCCTGCACATCCTAAGGCCCACTGGCACGTTCCACAAGGAGCCTCTGCCAGGCTGCTGAACTGACACATTAAGGACCGGAACCTCTAATTAAGGACCGAACCCTTCGTAAGTTAGCTGCCGAGGGCCACAGGACTGCAATCCTGCACCGGTGAGTAAGGGGCACTGAACTCAGTAGGGCTTGCTTCTGAGCAGACACGGTAGGATAGGATCGTGCTGTCATTCACTCTCACCCAAGCCCCCACTGTCCTCACGAAGGCCTTGCATGAAGCACTAGTGGCTGCTTGGAGGTTCTGCAAGGAGTGTGGGGGCCAGTGAGTCACATGGAAATTTTCCCTGGCAGCATCGAAGTTGCTAAAACATTTGCACTCCTTCCCTCCCTTCGGTTTTCCTAGGGAAAGCGTCTCCATGCCAGCCATCAGCCAGACGCCAGAAAACAAGGTTCTATTCAGGGCCATTAGCACGGCCACACGCAGGCAGGCACAGCTCCCCGTGGCCGGAAGGGGCCAGGGCGCAGCGGTGGGTGGAGAGCCACGCCACCATGCAAGGGGCTCTGCCAGCTGCCCTGGGCAGAAGCCCTGAACAGGGGTGCTGCCTGGGCAGTCTGGGGGCAAGATGCCTGGGGGCACTTTGGACCCACCAGAACTAAGCCACACAGATCCCGAGGGGTCAAACTTCAGGCTAATCGGCCTGAGGTGTAAAAAGTGCAAACCTTTAAAAAAACAGAGGTCAAGCTGAACGATGAAACATGATGGATGCTCCTTGTTCGCCATCTGATGCACATTTAACAGGGAACAGTTGTCACTAAACTTTTTTTTCTGAAGGAACAATGGCCTTTGCAGTTTCAGAGCACACGTGCAAACTTTAGGAAATACTGGGCTACCTCTCTCAAGAGAAAATGAATATTACGCTACCAATATTGCATCTCATAGACGCTGGTGTAGCTGTTTGCTGCGTTAGTCCCAGAGAATTCAACCTCAGGGCAGTGAGGTTTCTATGGCCCTGCTGACACTGCTGAAAGCACAGGCAAATGCATGCATTTCTTGAACTTTTTGTCAAAAATTTAGAGAGCAACAGCAGCATTTTTTATTAATGAAAATTTGCAGCAAGTGAATGTTTGAGCAATGTATGGCGAGGAGTCTGGTTGGTTCTCACGCCTGCTTGGAAGGGAATTCTAAAGGAGGTAACCCGACACAAACGCCAGCTAGGCAGACGATCCCTGTCTCTCTCCTGTTTCGCGTGGGGAGAGCTGCTCCAGGCCCTGCCTGGGAAACACGGCTGCTCCCAAGCGGCTTTATCGCACCGATCTTGCCAGCAGGAGCGGCCTTCGAGCAGGCCTGGACACGGCCGGAGGCGCACAAAGAGAGGCGGCAGGAGAAGCAGCCCTGGAGAAGGCCCGCTGCGCGCGGAGCAGGCGAGGAGGCATTGCCACCGGCGCAGGCACGGGCGCGCGCGGCGGTGTCCACGCCTGGCTCCGGGGTGCCCGCTCCGGGGAAGGGGCGAAGAGGCGCGACGCCCTCCGACAGGGCACCTGCTTGCGGCGGCTTTCTTGCGCGGGCCGTGGCGGCTCGGGGAGATCTTCCGCCGGCCCGCGGGACCCCGGGACGACGCGACACCCGTCTGCCCAGGAGGAGGACCCCGCTCCTCCTCCGGGCGGCATCCTGCAGCGCACACCCCCACCCCACGATGCGCGGCAGCCCAGCCCACTCGCGCCGCTCCGCCGCCGGAATCAGCCGGGGAGCGGGCGGAGGGAGGCGTCCGCGGAGGGCCCGGACCGCTCCAGGAGCAGCGAGCGTGATGCGGGCACGAGGGGCGCGATGCGCAGGAAGGGGCCCGCAAAGCAGGGCGCTCGAGCTGGGCTTCGGCGGGGCGTCTCGGAAGCGCGCGGAAGCCCCCGCGCCGCCGCCGCCGCCACAGAGCCGCGGGCGCCCGGGGGGGGGGGGCAGCGCGCCGCACGAGCGCGAGCACCGCGCCCCCGCGACGCTCCTTGGGCTTACCTTCCCCTCGGGTAGATGGGCGGGCATCGGAGAGCCGGGGTCCTGCGCGCGCTCGGCGGCCGGGAGACCACGGGAGGCTGCGGGGCCCAGGAGGGTCGGACGCCGCGAGGCTCTGGACGCGCTGGGGGGCTGGCCGCGAGGCTGCGCCCGCGGGAGCGTTCCGGGGAGGGGGCTCGGCGGCAGTGCGCCCGGGCGAGGCGTCGGGAGGGCTCTGCTTCTCTGCTCTGCGCTGCGCTCCCACCCGCTCTGCCGCGCCGCTCACGACCAGGCTCTGCGCGATGCTCTCGGCGAAGGACTGCGTGCTCCGGCGCCGCCGACGCTTAAGTGGCCGCGGCGCGGGGACGCACGAGCCGGGGAGGGGGACGGTCCTCGGCGCCGGCGGAGCACGCCCATTGGCTGAGGGGAATTTGGTGCCACCTCGACGCGCGCCGGCATTGGCTGCCCGCAATCTGCTGTTGGTGCGGCGCGGAGCGTGCGCCGGGCGCGGGGCGCGGGCCGCCCCTCCCTCGGCCGGGAGCAATGACCGGCAGTGACTCCTGCGCGCGAAGTGGGTCAGCAGGTCTGTGGGCGGCGGCGGCGGCGGCGCGCGAGGGCCGTTCCTCGCGCGAAGCCCAGCCCGCCTTCGCTGCCGCCCGGGCGCGCACGATCGGCCGGGCGGCGCGGCGTCCCGGGCGCGCTGCCCCTTGTTGCAGCGGAGCCGCCGTGGCCGGAGGGAGCCGCGGAGCCGCCTCCGGCCTCGGGCCAGTCCGCTCCCGGCTCCTGCTCCTCTTGGGGCCCCGCGCCGCTCAGCGAGGGCGGGCGGCGGCGTGGGGGGGCAGGAGAGACCGGCGGGGTAGCCCTCCCCAGGACTGATGCCGGAGCGGGGCGAGGGGCGCGCGGGCGAACGGCGGGGAAGGCCGGAGGAGGCTTCCGCACGCCGTTCGCGCTTAGACTTCTCCCCAGAGCCGGCGACGCTGCTTCGTCAGTTCCCGGCCGGGGGGCCCTCCGTGGTCTCCCGCGAGCAGTGGGCCCGCTCGCAGCGCACTGTCCGGCCCGGCAGCCCTTTCTCCATCCAGGCCTGCTCTCTTGGCTCCACCTGACTCGCACCTGCCGGAGCGCATCCTCCGTGGACCCCAGCGCCGGCTCACTCCGCTTTCACTCCCAGCAGCGGGAGGCAGCCTGGGACCCTCCAGATGCCTGGGACTCGCATTTCCAGAATCTCCGGTCCCTGGCCCTGAAGCCTGGCACTCACGGGAGCCCTGGTCCAAATGTTTGGACCCCCCCCCCCCGCTTGCTCTCCTGCACTGTGAATGGTTTCTGCCTCCCCAGGGCTGGAGGAGGCAGCGATGGCGGAGTCGGGGCGTGGTCGGGGGGTGCTTAGCTGAGACCCAAGGGTGCCCCCGCGTCCTCGGCCGAGCTCTGCCAGATGCATTTTGGCCACATTCGCGGCACAGGGGTTTCCGGTCAATTGACGAAGAGCCATACCACCAATTACCCATAGGTTTTCTATCCCTGTGTGTGTGTATATAGCAAAGCATGCAGCTGTTGTTAAAAAGCGATGACGCATCAGCGCTGGCAAAGGCAGCCCGAACATCCTTACGAACGACACAAAAAGGCCGCCCGTGCAAAGCCGAAGGTGCCTCACATCGTGCGCCCCTCGTGTTGCCCCAGGGGGCCGATGCGTCACTTTCCCCTCGACAGTCACTGCGCAGAGGAGCCGAGCTCCTCGGGCGCGCTTCCCGCATCGGCGAGCAGAGGGCGCGGCAACCAGCGGGGCTGGTACAGCGGAGAGCTGGCCGCGTGTTGCGACGAGCCCGGCGAGACGAGCCCTCGCGTGTCGTCAGCGCTGGCAGGCTCGGAAGGAGCGCGGCTGCTCCAGGCGCGGGAGGGGCGCGCCCGCCCCTCCCGCGCCGCCGCGGAGCCCCCTGCTGGCGGGGAGGGCTCGGTGCCGCCCCCCAGCGCGGCGCAGCGGACTCCGCTCGCTGTGCCGCGCTGCCCTTCCTGTCCTCTGCGGCGGCGCGGGGCGCAGACAGCCGGGAGCGGGCGGCTGGAGTGAGGGCGCCCCCAGCCCCCCCCCCCGAACGGCATCCCCGCAGCCGGCCCTCCAGGCAGGGTCTTTTCTGTCTCGCTGGAGAGGGCCGCGCGTGCGGGAGTCAGGTCGCGCCTCGTGCCCCGGAGCGTTGCCCCGGTGGTGCTTGAACAGGGCTGCCTGCGCACCGTGTCGCCGTGAGGTGTGTCTGTGGCTGGACACGGCGCCTACGGGGAAGGCGCGCTGGATGGCGGAGGGCATGGGGAGCGGGCCTCGGAGGAGCGGTCCCAGGTGCAGGAACGCCCGGGTGCGAGGAACGCCGCTCCCGACAGGAGCACAGCAGCGCGGGCTGGCTGCTCTCTCCTTGGCCAGGAGATAAAAGGCGGAGAAGGAGCTCAGGGCAGCGTCAGGGGAGGAGATCTCACCAGGGATGGCTCCCACGACCCTCATGCTGAGGGTGGAAATGTGGCGGAGCGTGTGCCTTGCATGCAGAAGCCCCCAGGCCAGGCACTGTCTCTGGCATCTTCCGGCTGGGGGGCTGCTGCCAGCCCGTGCTGACGCTTCCAAGCCAGACAGACGAAGGATCTGACTCGAGAAGGCAGCTTCACAGAATCATGGGAGAGAGTCGCAAGTGCAGTCAGAGGGCCATCTCCCCTGCAGGAGGCCGAGTTGCAGCATCCCTGAGCTGCCCCTGGAACAGCCCCAGTGCAGGAGAGCCCGCCGCCTCCCCCGGCCGTGGGCGCCACTGCTGCGCTGCTCTGACAGCCAGGAATTTTTTCCTGCTGTCTAGGTGGACTCTGTCTTCCCGTAAGCATGCCGTGCGCTCTGGCATGTTGGAGAGGAGATCCCGGCCCCCCGAATGGCTGCCTTTCCACTCCTTGAAGAGCGCTCTCATATCCCCCAACAGTCTTCCTGAGGCTAAGTTTGCCCAGCTCTTTCAGTTGCCCCTAATAGGGCTTTGTTTCCAGGTCCTTGATCATCCTGGTTGCCGTCCTCTGAACTTTCTCCAGGTTGACTGTACCTTTCCTGAACTACCCAAACCAGACACAGTACTCAAGATGGGACCTGCCTCGTGCTGAACAGAGCAGAGCCAGGGCCTCGCATGGGTGGGAAGCCGTGCTTCTTCTGTTCACCTTCTTTGCAGCTGCAGCACTCTCTCGACTCGACTGGACTCGGATTCTGTTTGTGGCTGGTCTGCAGCAATGCCTTGTACCTCCCGTCTTGGCTCCCTTTTCCTAGGTACAGATCTTGGCATTTCATTCTGCTGTTTTCAGCCCAGCACTTCCGCCTGCCACCATCGCCTTGAATCTTGCTTCTCTCTTCCAGGTATCAGCCACCCCACTCAGTTTTGTGCCATCTGTAATCGGATGAGCATTTCTTGCACCTCCATGTCCCAGCCATGAATAAAAATGTTGAAGAACACTGTGCCCTGCAGAACCTCGCTCATTACCTCTCCTCATGCTGAGAAGCTGCCTCCAAGAAGCACTCTGAGGCCAGTCCAGTGGCCAACGGTGGATCCGCCTCATCGCCATCCCATCTATTTATTTTTATTATTTATTTATTTAAAACTTTCTATGCCGCCCCCATCGCAACAAAGCCTCGGGGTGACTCACAAAGAATACATAAAAACATACATAATAATAATATAACAAAAAAACATTTAAAAAACCCTGGTGCATTCTCGGCTAAAAGTTTTAAAATCCTAATTAATTCAATAATTTAACAATTAAAGTAAGTTTTAAATAAAAAGGTCTTAGCCTGGCACTGAAAAACAAATAACGACAGTGCCAGGCGGACCTCTCTGGGGAGCGCATTCCATAGGTGGGGCGCCACCGCAGAGAAAGCCCTCCTCCGGGTACTCAGCTGGTTCCCTGATCAGAATGTCAGGCACTCACTTGAACTCAAGGTATATTATGTCCACGGCATTTCCACAGTCCATAAAAGGGGTTGCCAGATCTGAGCTTTCTAGACTCCCAGTAAATCAGTGCCCTTAGAACAGGGGTCCTCAACTTTTCCACCAGGGGACCAGTTGAAAGGTACCAGTGCTGGACGTGGGCCAGAAAGGTGGTGCCAGCGGGGCGCATGGGCCAGAGCGGGGGCGAGGCATGCGGGCGCTGAGGCGGGGGGCGCGTGCAGGCAGGTGAGGCCAGGAGGGTGCGTCACGCACCGCAGTGCAATGGCTCGCTCGCTTGGAGATTGCTTTCTCCAAGTGAGTCCAGAAGGCGAGCAAGCCACCGCCTCCCCGCGTGGGGGGCAAGACGGGCAGCGCCAGGCATGCACATGGTGTGTGGGCACATGCGCAGCACATTGAAAACCTCCGAGGCGGGCCGGATAAATGGGCATGGTGGGCCGGACCCGGACCCTGGGCCATAGTTTGAGGACCCCTGCCTTGGAACGTTCAGCCTTGGAATAGACTGGAGGGCAAGCGACCTTCGTCTTTGGGGCAGACCTATGAGGCAGCCTAGGCATGACTCTGATCAGATCTCCCAGTTTGTGAAAGCAAAAAAGATCTGATACCTGCTCTGCCATTCAAAAGAAGCTTGTTTCACTGGAAGAGGGAGGCACTAAGCCTCATTCTTCTGAGCTGATCGCTGCTCTCCCAAAACTTCCCCTGACCGCTCCAGGGCAAAACACAGATAAAAAACCTACAGGAGATCTGAAGGTGGATCTTGCACTGTTCCATCTAATTTGGCTCTTAGTTCCCACTGGCCCCTAGTCCTCACTGGGGTATATAGTCTGGAGCTGCTTAGGGATACTGACCGTTACCTGTCTGAACACAATAGCAAGTTGAACTTTGAATAGAAAGCATCATTGTATACTCGTGGAACTGGGAGGGGCCAATAAAGCCACTGGGTCCAATCCCTGATCAAGCTTCAGCATCCGTAGAAGGCTGCCCAGGTGCCTCCTGAATGCCTCTAGTGTGGGAAAGTCCACACCCTCCCTAGGGAAAGGGCTCTGTTGTTGCACTGCTCTGACAGCCAGTCAGCTCATCACGTTTAATTCCAAAGAGGAAAGGTTGCACTGTCTGTTGAAAGGGGGAGTTAAAGGAAAGCAACACGAAAGGTTATTTAAATCCACAACACCAGAACTTCGGATTAGCATGAATATGGAAAGGTGCCAAGGACAAGAACATACGAGAGAATTAATGGAGTCATAGAAAGCAAGGAGTCCCGCCAAAGTGTGAATGCCTTGCCCAAAGGAGGAAAAGGAGGGGTGGGTGGCGAGGTGGCCACGTTCGCTGATGACATTAAGCCTTACAGG